TGTATAATTGTATTTTTATTAATCTCATCTTGGTTAGACTTGGCAGAGATTGCTTCATTTTGTTGACCTTATCAAAGAACAAGCTGTTGGATTTTTATAAGTTATTTCTTGAAGTTTCATTATTAAATTCTGTTATTATCTTAATTACTTCCTTCAGTATCATTTATTGTTCTTGTTCTAAATTCGTGGATTAATTCATTTCTTTTTTTAGTACTGTTTGGACTTAAAAATTATGTTCTTTTTTCTGCTGAGCACAATGTCTCAGACTATAATTTTGCATGCAGTGTGCCTTCACCATGATTTTTTAATGTATTCTAGAATAATTTTCTGACACCCAATAATTTAAGTATTTTTTTTATTGTTTCGTTTGTACTTTCTAAATGACTATATAAAATCAATAACCATGCAAAAATCACTATGTGCTCCTAGCCTATCAGAAAAATATTTTAAATTTCAGAAACAGAAAGGAGACAGGATACAGTATCCACAATGGTCAGGAGCTGAGTCAGGTCTGCTTCTGAAGAAGCTCCAGAAGGGGATACTGAGGCAGTCATGGAGATGACCATTTGGAAAACTGCATTGAGGCAGCTTGGAAACAGGCTTTTTCCCCTTTCTAACCCACCCCTTCACTACACAGCAGACAGCACTGTGATAGCTCACTGGGTAAACACTGACTGGAAGAGGGGTGTGTAGCTCAGAGAAACAGGACAATGTCCCAGGTGCTTACCAATTGTGGGAGAACAACCCAGAAGGTAAGCTCCTGCATGATACTCTTTGCAGCATGCCCAAAGAAACATGAAGAGGTAACCAAAATCATCAAATATTTGAGGAAAAAAAAAAAAACCATGGGAGATAAAACAAAGTGGAAAAGAAAAAAAGTAAAATTAAAGTAGTAAAAAGAAAATTTCAGTGTTTGTATAATTACCATTTATGAAGAGATCAGAAAGACTATTACACTTACTAAGCACAACACGGCCATGAGAAAGTAAGTCAGTAATCTTAGTAAGGAAACAAATTCCACACATGTACCAAGCAAGCAGAATGGAAACTTAATGAAATAATTTAGTGAACAGATGATATAGATGCAGGTTTCTCCCAGAATGCAATGAAAATGATCTGTGAGATAATAACTCTAAAAACAATTAAGAGGCATAGAGAACAGATCTAGAATTTCTAATGCGGTTTGACGAATATTCCAGAAATGGAGAACAAAGGTAATATAGGGGTAAAAAGGTAAAAGGAAAATAGGAACTTCCCAAACTGAAGAGCGACATATTTTGAGATTAAATGGCCCACCAAAGACTATAAGATTAAAAACAAAAACACTAGAACTTCTTATGATGTGAGGATGAAAAATAAATTATACAAAGAATATTTGAAGAGTGAAGAAAATAACAGAAAACATAAGACAATTAAAAAGTAAATTGTGTGGTAAGAATATGTGCAAAGTCTCTACCATGATAAATGAGAATATATTAAATTTACTTCATAAAAGAAACTAAGAAACTGGATAAAAGAAAAATCAGCCATTTCTTCATTAGAAATCTATTTTAAACCAAGTGACACAAAGAAGTTAAAATTAAGTGATTTTAAAAAAAGAAACTGGCATATAAATTCTAACCCCAAAAAAGCTGGCAGAGAAAAATACTAGAATTAGACAAAATAAAAAAAAAAAAGAAAGTAAGCTGAAAATCAAGTGGGAAAATTAATATATTGACTAAAATCCACTCAGAAATTCAGGATTCCCATAAGTCTCCTGGTTGGAACTATTCCTATACCTGTGTCTGCATCAATCACAGTTGGGAAAACACAACTCCTATGAACAGTGAGACCCTGTGGGATTGGACCCCCAAAGATCTTGGGTGCTATCTTCTCTGAAACATAGTTCATGCATGCTAAGTAGTACAAATAACTGAAATAAAAATCAGGGCTTTAGGAGAAAGATGGGCAATCAATATTTGCTATGTCATCCTGAAATTATCAAAACACAGTTTGTTTTCCTTGCAGCACTAATTACTGTGATTAACCACTATAAATAAAATAAAAAGTACAGTGTGTCTTTGTTTCTTTTTAATCATCTGTCTCCTCCATCAAAAAGTAAGCTTCAGGGGGCAGAAACCATGTCTTTTCTATTCTTAATTGAAGCTCTTGCATCTTAACACAAGACTCAGCTTGAGCTCAATATGTGGTTGTTGATGGGATGGATAGATAGATGATAGATAGGTAGATAGATAGACTGACTGACAGAAAGATACTGGGGTAGATTTTACTGAGATAGATCAACCAGAATAATAACAATTTTTTAAAAAAGAAAGGCCCCAAAACAAAGTTTTAAAGTGATGTCAAATAGAAATTATAGAAATGCCAATGAATTGAATATTCAGCAGGTATTTTATTTTTAGAAAGCAGTTTTAGTAATAATATTTGTCTATATAAACCAGAACACAATGAATCAGGGATGAAGTGAGTAATAAAAATGTGATTACTATAAGATAACTTTTGTCTTTATTTTTTTTAAATTTGGTAGACACAGAAAATATGTGATTTCTCTGTGGATAGCAGAATCAGTTAGTTGGTTTGTTTATTTTACAATGGCAAGAGTGAGCACATAAGTTGACAAAAGCACTCAATGAGAAGAATACATACTGAAGGTAGAGGAGAAGAAAAGGGAATTATAATAGTATTTCTACAAGAGGGAAGTGAATCAACTGTAAAATGTTGAGAAGTTAACCTTAGGAAGAACTTACTGTCCCCAAGTAACCAGAATAATGGAAGAATGTAGAAGTCAGAAGTATAACAGAGCAAAATAAAAGTGCTGTTCATTTCAACTGAACCCAGATCACTTCCTTATGAATTTCTCCATAGGAGGTAGTCAGTAAACATTTTTTGAATGAATGGAATGAACAAACACATGGGTGGATGTAATGATATGTTACATGTGCTTTTTCTGTATCGTCGTCATTAAACAATACCCTCTTTTTTTTTTTTTTTTTCTTAAACAAAATCACTGAAGTGATATGGAATGACAAACTCCACCAATCAGGGAATAACTTCAGTAGACATTTTCCAACAACAGATTGCACAAAAAGGGAGAGAAACAATGATAAGTAGAATAGATGGGTAAATATTAAGTATTCTACTGAATGAAATCCCTAAGGATAGAAGTATCTATATGTCAAATTATTCATTTTACTAAACACGACAGTAGGGAAAGGGAAATAGTTAATGCAAAAGACTATATAGTCAAACATGACCAATCAATAACCAGAAAATATGTATGGATCAATATTTATCTAACACCAGGAGAAAAAAAATGATTAAGAAATAAAAAGCTTAATTTTCACTATCTAAAATAACTACTCAACCTGAAAATTAAATCCCAGATCTGATTTTCTAATCTGTTGAACATTCTCTTTGTGAAATGTTCTACTTTTAATGGCTTTCACTTTCCAAATATGTACACCAAGCTTTTTAAAACACTATTTAACAATTCACTAGAAATTATTTTAAGAGAAATATTTGCACTAACTTTATAATATTCTTCTCAGTATTGAAGTAACTTAGAACTTGATATTAAAAGTTCACAGAAATGGATTAACACTTTCATGTCATTTGGCAGGCATAAGTGAAAATACATGAGCATATATCAGATTTAGCTTCCACTTGCTATTACTAGAATCTTATATTAGCATTGCTTATTTAATAATGTATTTCAATATGAGAAATTTGTCAATGGGACATATCTTTAAAAGAAAAACACTAAGGGTGAAAAATGTTTTGTGCTTTCTTCATTGCTTATAGTAGCACAATAACTAAATTTACAACTCACATGATTTCTTTCAACAATTTAATTATTACCTACTATGCACACAACAGCTTAGTGACCCAGGTATCTGCTCTGCATGCTGGATAAAGCCATGATGGACCAAAAAGCTGCTGGGAGGAGGGGAGCACTTTAATGATAGCAACAACTAGTGTGTACAGTCCAGTTCATGACATGATTTTTACACACAAGTGCTATAACAAATTATCTTGTGTGAAAAACCTACCCCCCAAAACCCCACAAATAAAACCAAATCACAGAAACCAAAATGGCAGGTAGATTTTAAGTTAAGTGTGCAATTTAAGGAATAGATTCGATATTCTGGAAGAACCATCAGGTTTTATCAATCAGGAAGACAAGTAGAAAAGTTGGAAAATAAACATAATGGATAAGATAATGGCCTCTTAGAGCAGAATGATTTATTTTGCTTCTTTAAAAGATGTGGAATGACGTGGCACCTTGGGATGACTCACTGATTAGGTCCTCATTCCACAAGGAAGAGCTTCAGGACCTAACTGAGGCTATGGATCAAACACAGGCATGACCATCAACTCACAGCACTGAATATTTTCAGTTACCAAATCAGCTAATTCATATTCTAATGAAGATCACCCATAAGCATTTTTCTTCAGAGGCTCTGTATTTATCTCATTGATTTCTATCTCTCAAAAATTGTTTGGAATACTTCACTGGCCATACACATACAGAATATCTTTGTTTTAATTTATGTGTATCTTCTGGTGCATATATAAGCCAGTTTCATAACATTGTGTTTCTACCTTTGCTTGTTGCAGTATTCTCTAAACACTATTCATAATTTCATTTATATTTGCTTTGAAAAAGAAGTGGCAGTGACATTGGTTATGTTTTGTAGAGCAGAGGGTCACAAGTGTCTATTCCCTCCAAGAACCATTGCTGCCTGCTGCAGCAGACACGCTAGCCCTCCCATGAGGTCAAGTGCCATGAGAATTTTGAAAGGAGTCACCACACCACCATATTCACAAAACATACTCACATCTCATCATTTGTTTTTAATGCCTGAGTTACTTTTTTTTTTTTTCGAGATTTTCATGTATGTAATTTTCATGTATGTAAATATTTCTGTTCAGAAACCCTTCAAAAGTATCTAGTACCACAAGCAAATAATTAGCAATGACTAATAGGATTTTGTGAATACCTTCTGACGTTGTTCCTCCTTCATCTTTTTTAATTTTCGATTTTCTTCCTCCTTTACAGACTCCTTATAAGCTCGGCTTCTGGACTGTAAAGTGGGGGGAAATCACAGGAAAGAGCATCACCACAATATACTAGTCTGTCCCCATTGGAACTCATTCTAATAACTCAAACTCCATACTGAAGATACTGTACGTACTCCATACACACTTGCTTACTGAGTGATTTATGATTATGTCTGAGGATTTCCCTTGGGATATATTTTAAAAAGGCTGATATAAGCACAGTTATCCAGCACATTTTAAAGGATGATCTAAACGTTTGTTTAATTAAGCTTAAAAAAATCCCCTCAGAGATAATCAACATAGCTTATTCTTTAGTGAGAAGAATCTGAAATAGAGGAAAGTTAAATATATTTTCCAAGAATATTCCAAGTAGTCAATATCAGAGACAAGCAATGGTGACAATGACTTTAGAAGCACTGATGTGTCCACTGCTCATTAATGGCTTCCTATTAAATTACTTGTCAGCTGCTGACTGATAGCATATAATTCCAGAAATGCTTTTCTTTCTAAGTCTTTGCATCCCTAATCTGTACTTGAAGCTTGTTTCTAAGAGGGAAAATAAAGCCAGTTCAGGAAATAGGGATGAACATTTCAAAATGAATTTGGACCTCCAAGGAAAGCCTCAGGAGAGTCAGCACACACAGCAGGGTGCCCTTCAGCCCTCTGCACAAATTGCATAGTGATCACACATTTCAGAATTCGTGAGACTGCTAGTATTCTGTCTATTTATTTGTCATACGCTTTCTCTTCCTCACATTGATTTGTAGTTCAGTCTGCGCGAGACAGAGAAGTTGGGGTGATGAGCTAATGCGTAGGAAATTCCATTGTTCTCATAAAACCACAGCAGCAGCATGCCAAGCCAGCAGGCTACAAATTTCAGGCCTAGTTCTTTGGACTAATAATCCATAAAGCTTCTGTAGAATAGTTGCCCATTCCTTTACTATAATTTTTCTCAAGCACTTCTTAACTCATTCCCCCATTTCTGTCACCATAAAAACCCATATTCCAGCAAATAAGAAGTTCTTGTCAGAAAGAAAGGCTTTCAGAATTGTATCAGCAGCAACACTATCAATTAGAACAGTGGAGCTTCAGATGTGTTCAGAAAGCCTGGCACATATCCCAATCTGCCACACTGAACAGGTAAACTCAACCTATGACTTTTTCTTATCTATATCCTCGAGTGGTTTTCCAATGACCCCTTCCCTTCTGTGTTCAAAAAAGCTAGTCTTTAGCACAAATATTCCTTAAAAAAAACTGAAAAGGGGGGCAACAAGCAAGGTTCACATCTTCCTTTCAAGAAAGTAAAAGGAGTAAAAAATTTAAAGCAGATATGATAACTTGAGTCAGGACCTAAATTCTGTCAGTATACCTCCCTTTTAAACTCAACTACTTTGTTCTTCTTCACTAAAATACAGTTTCTAGCTTTTCCTCACAAAAAAAGGTTATTATATCCATAAAGTGTCATTCAAAAGGCCATAGAAACTGAGAAGTCACATGGCACCTTAACTAGGAAGAGTTCAAAGTCACAAACCTAATGGTCACTTACCCAGCTGTGATCATGAGGCAGAGCAGGAAGTTTCTGTTCAAAAACAATAGAACAGGAAAAAATATCTGACTATTTTTTTGCTCTAAATCCCAGAAATTTCTAAGTCATTATTATATTCACATAATTTTTCTATCATTAAACATGTACTATATTAAGACTAAATTTTTCTTACTCGGCTCAAGTACACTTTTTACTTATCCACCAGAAACTCTGCTGGTTCTATATTCATTCAATAAACAGTAGTTCAAGCCTCTGTGGTAAGGCAGGATCCAGACCAAGTGCTTGTAGTTTAGCGTGGATGTCAGACAAGAAGATGAAAGATTACAGCACAGCGTGATAGGTATTATGATAAAGGAAACTAAAGAGAAGGACATTTAATTAAACCAGATCAATGATATGTCAAACTTGGTGACATTATGTTGTGTTTTGAAGGGTGAGTAGGAACAGATTTAACAGGGATAGGGCATGAGGAACAAATTAAAATAGTCTTGTACTGGTTTGCTAGGACTGCCTTGACAAAGTTCCACAGGACGGGTAACCTAAAAAATGGAAACTTATTGTCTCATAGTGTGGGAGGCTAGGAGCCCAAAATCAAAGTCTCTGCAAGTTTGGTTCCTCCTGAGGGCTTTGAGGGAAGGCACTAGGATTTGCTACTTGGCTTGTAGATGCCTGTCTTCTCCCTGTGTCTGTTCATATCATCTTCCCTTTATAAAGGTCTGTCTCTTTCTAAATTTCTTCTTTTTATAAGGACATGTTTTATATTGGATTAGAATTTACTCTAATAATCTCTTTTAATTACCTCTATAAAGACCCAATCCCCAAATGGGACTATATTCTGAGAGAAAAGAAGTTAGAACCTTGCATATGAATAGGGCCTAGGAGGCACTTCAACTATGATAAGCATTATCACCATTATCAAGATGGTGGAGTAAAAATGTTTGGTTCCATTCTTCTCTCATAAGTTGTCCTAAACAGAGGAGAATATGAAACAAACACACAGTCTATCTTCAAAAATCCAAAGAAATCTATATTCCCAGATGGAATCTATAAAAACAATATAGATGAAGAAATACTAAAACACTTGCTTTCAGGGGATAGAGAACATCCACAAGAAACCAATGTTTTCCACAAAGCAGCATGACGCCCGAGAAATGGAGGCCTCAGCTATCGGGGAGACGAGGGATGGTAGAGAGGTATCTATACTGCTCCCACTTGAAAATTCAAGTGCTAATTCTCACAACCCTGACAGGAAATCAAAAGCTAGTCTCTGGGTAAGCTAACCAGGCACACCTCGCACAGAAGGCAGCAGGGGTCAAATCCCAGAGAGAGACTGAAAGACTTGTATAAAATCCTGCACACCGAGAAGTGAGACTTTGATGTTTTTTTCTTCTGCTCCCTGCACGGTTTCCTCTGAGAGGTAGAAGGTGATATTTTATCTATGAAACAAAAATAGATTGCTCTTTTTTGAAAAACAGAGAAAAGAAGAACTCTCGGAAAATAAAAATATCTTCTTTCCTCCCTCCCCCCAAAAGACAAACCAGCAAATAATTTAGAAGATAAAGTCATATGTGACGAGATGTGTCAGATAATTGCAAAACATGTATGCTAGTCTCTGCCATCTAGGTTCCTGGCACAGAGTTCCTAAAGCCCTTGTCATTTCCTAAGTGATAGGAGCAAAAGCAGCAGCTCTTGTCCAAATATATTGTCTCTGAGCCCCCAACACAGAGCTCCTAAAACCCTTGTAAATTCCTGAGAGATTCAAACACTAAGAGCATCTTTTGTTTTATTAAGGTGATTCTGGGTGGGCTCCTGGATGGGGACTGGCCTCCAGAAAAAGTGAGTTGTGAATAGGAAATTGGAAATTTCAAAACCACACTTATCGTGTGAGAAGGGAAGAAGCTAGAAAGAGAGTTAATCATTGATCAAGCCTATGTGAGGAAGCCTCCCCTAAAATCCCAGCAGTATGTGCCTCAGGGAGCTTCCAGGTTGGAGAACACACCCATATACCAGGCAGGTGAGTCACCCCAACCCATTGGGGTCAGAAGCTCCTATGCTGAGGATCTTTCCAGCATTCTCCCCATTTATCTTCATCTGGCTGTTCATTTGAATCCTTCATCATATCCTTTAATAAACTGGTATGCATATATGTATGTATTTCCCTAAGTTCTATAGTCACATTTGCAAATTAATCATTAACTCAAGGAGAGACTCATGGGAACCTCCAATTTGTATCTAAGTCAGACTAAAGATGTAGGTAACCTGGCAATCTATTTATTTCGATTGTCATTTAAAGTGAGGGATATGGGGGCAGTCTTCTGGAACTGAGTCCTTAACCACATCTTATCACACATAACTATCTAGGTAGATAGTGTCAGAATTGATTTAAAAGATGGGCTACCCATCTGGTGTCACAGAACTGCATGATATGGGATCAAACCCTGGCGCCAGAATTACTGAGAGTGGTTGCTGTGTGAGTCAAAGAGACACTCAGGACAGTAAAGACCAGAGATTTTCTAACTCAGTATTTCAGAAAGTAGAAGAAAACAATACCAAGATAAATTAGAGGAGTATTTTTTACAAGAAAGTTAGAAGATAAATCCAGGAGGACTGTATTTAAAAAATAAGAATTCCATTAAGAAAGAATGAAGAGAAATAAATCAAAGAAATAACACCAGAAAGGACCTCCCTGGTTGAGCGCCACACTGTGAAGCTGTTCGCAGCCTCTGCAGCATGGGTTCCAGCCGGCCAACTGCGGAGATACCCACATGGTGCAGCAGACCTCTCCTGTCTCGCCCACTGCTCCCCTCAGCAGTGTGTTTCATCAGTCTTCCTGTTCTGCTCCCCAATCTATCTCTGGTGAATCCTCTCACCCTCCCATGCATCTGGCCTGTGCCTGAGCCCTTGTATAAATAAAATAAGTTTTTTTTTTTAAAAAAAAAGAAATAACACAAGAAAATTATCTAAAAATTCACCTGTTATCTAAAAAATAGCTGAATCTATTTTTATTATCTAAAAAGAGATTCCAGATTGAAATGAATTAAAATGATCCTCAAACTAAAGTACATCATTATGAAGTTATAGAGCCAGAAAAAAAAAATAAAGAGAAGATGTTAAAATATTTCCAGGGGCAGCAAGGAAAAGGACTGAAAATTGAACAGTCTTAGATTTCTCAGGAACCAACAAAATCCTGAATGGAAATTACTTCCAATTTGGAATACTTAACAGAAAATGGCAAGCAAAATATGTGGGCTGAATAAAGATAGTTTTAGACACATAAGGGTTCAAACATGCATTTTCTCTAGGGAAGCAACTAAATAATACACTTCATCAAAACAAAGAAATCAGCACAAAAACAGAAGATATGAAACCCAGAAATAAGGGGACTCAACATGGGGAAGTAATCAAAGCAGTTCCCCAGACGACTTTAAAGCAGGATTCTCATGCTTGGCTGAACCTCACCTGAGGAGCTCGGATGGCCCCGAGGCTCAGGCCACAGTATAGCAGGATCTCTGGGGGGTGCAACCCAGACATTGGTGAATTTTAAAGCCCCCCAAGTTATTCTAAGGTGCATAGGAGGTTAAGAAACATTCTGTGAAAGGGAAGTCAGAGAACAACAGCGATGTAGGAGGCTGAGAGAACAAGCAGCCCAGGTTATCAAGAGGTCAGAGGGACACACAGGAGGGACAGCTCCAGGAGAGAAAGAAACTCAGAGCTGACAAGTTATCCATCAGGCACAAAGTGGAAAATTCCACGGAAATTTGCATTCAGGGGCACTTTGTACAGCAGTCACAGAGGCCAAATGTTCAAAGGAAACCAAGAAAATGCAAAAATAACATGAAAGTTTTTAAAAGTTGGAAGAAAAAGAAAATGTGTAGCATACTAGCTGGCTCATCACTGAGAAAACTATTTTATTTATGTAGTCATAGAGGGAAAGTTTGGAAATTGGGGAGAAGAAATTAGGAGAGTGGGGCGAAAAAATTAATGAGATCTTAAATTGATTAATCCAGAGATAGTAACATACAAGTTAACAGATATGCAGAGCCAAATAGCAAAAGAAATAGTGAGGGGGGAGTATAGTAGGATGACTAGCCCCCCAAAAGTATCCTTGGAATCCTTATCTCTGGAAGCTGTGAATGTCACCTTACATGGTAAGAGGGACCTTGCAGCAATTAAGGGTCTTGAGTTGGAATAATCCTGGATGAACCAGGTGGACCTATCCTTTAAGAGGAAAGAAACAAGATCAAGGAAGAGGAAAAAGGTGAAAGCAGAGAATGGGGATGCAGTCACGTACGAGGGAGACAAAGAATGCCACAGCCAAGAGATTCTGGATTAAACATAGAACAGATTCTCTGGTAGAACCTCCAGAAGGAACCAACCTGGTTGACACCCTGATTTTAGCCCCATCAAACTCATTTCTATGAGTTCTGACCTATAAGAACTGCAGGGGAATAGTTTTGTGTTGTATTAAGGCCCTGAATTTGCAGTGATTTATTACAGCAACAACAGGAAATTAATATAAGAAGTTTAAAGTATTGGCATGGAAATGGGTTTGAAGAGGGGCAAGGCACATGTGCCTTAAAGTGTTGACTTCTGATGAACATGTGACACATGGATAAAAATTAAAATAAACTCTACTAGTGTTCTGAGTAGTGGAAACGAGAGGATATGTATGGCCAGAAAGGCATGAGTTACAGAGTAAAGCTCCTCAAACATTACTGTGCATACGAATCACCCATGGACAGTGGGTGACACAGGCTCTGATTTAGGTGCTAAGTGGGGCACTGGAACGCCCAGTTGGTAAAGTTATCCAACTCCTGATCTCCCCACGCCCAGCCCACAATCACAGGGTACCTGGACATGTGTCAAGCATTGTCATCTACATGATTCAACTCTACTACCTATAGCTTCTCAACTCTTTCCTCCAGAGCTCTGCAATGAAAGGACAGAAATTACATCTTTGCTATGACTTGTGGAGCTCACACTGGTAAATTTAGGCTGTGGAACACCACCTTAGAAGCTGGAAAAAAATAAGGAACACTTAAGAGTTTGTCGGCAAAGTATAATAACCTACTCCCAAGGAATATTATAATGTCTTCCTGACATTTAAAAACATGGACACTATGAGAAAGGGTGGGAAAGGGGATGAATATCATCTGTAGTCACTTTTCATTTACCTGCTCAACCCCTAGAAGAACTAAGACTGAAACCCTCTCCTGGAGTCATGCTTAAGTACACTTACTTTCTTGTCCCCAATTAGCCAGTCAATAACCAAGTCCTGTTATCTCACCTTCCCAGCAGCCTGCTCACCTGCACTCCTCTCTCTCCACCTTCTCCCCTACCATGCTGGATCAAGTCTAGGTAAGGTCATTCCTCAACTAGATGAATGCAGAAACCATTGAGAGGCCTGGATTCTGCCTCTCTATTATTTTATATAGATCCATCCTTCACATGGTTACCCACATGATCCCGCTAAAAAAACATATCTGACCTTGAACCTTCCCTATTTAAACGTTTTCAGTGCCTAATACTCGCAGAAGAAAACCCAAGTTCTCCTCGGTGAAGTACAAATGCCATGGTGTCCACCAGGAGCACCACCAGATTCCTGGGGGCGGGAGGGGTGGCAGCATTTCCGGATATGCCAATGTCTGGGCGATAGTGTTGACATCTCCCTCCCAGAGGTCAGGAAAGCTGAAGCTCTCGCAGCACCCATGACAGTGCCTGCACCGAACTCTCCCTCTCAATTGCCATTACCAACAACCCCTCCTCCTGGTTCCTCCTACTTCTGCAGCCTTCTGGTTCACTCTAACCCAGCAGCTACACAAAGCACTTCTTTCCTAACACATCCTTTTTTTCTTTCCATATTGCTTAAATGCTTACTTTCTCTGTGTTGATTAATTTCTAATAGCTGAAATAATTTTACTGAGTCATCTTTTCAGTTTCAGCATTTTAAATGCTTTTTCTCTATATTAATTGGTTGCTTCACAACTATGGTTTTCTCCTACCCTCGGCTGAGGTCCTTCTGGGCAGAAATTGTATGCAGGCAGTATCCTAAGGTAGACATCATAATTTAAGGGAGGGGTGGGTAAATGGATGACCGGGTGAACTCAAGGACTTTTCAGAAGCTGGTGTTGAGTCCAGATACACATAATCTAGGCAACAAGTATAAGATGAGGCAATGAATGAGGTCAAAATTTCATGTTAGGTCATTTGCCTTTAGCTGCAATATTCTATAATGTTAGGTCACAGTATGCCCTAATCTTCATTCTTTTAAAAGTGCCAGACAGAGTGCTGTATAGGATTCCACTTACCCAAGGAGAAGGCTGCCAGTCAGGAACAGCAATTTGACAGGTATTCCTGTTTGTTAACCCAGAGTCCAGTGTGCTCAAGAACTCAGCATTTTTGCTAGCAGGAACACAAACAGGTGTTAATGCCTTCATGAAAATACAAACATTATTTATTATGCCTTAGAAAACTAGCCTAGACATATATTGGGTGTTGACTAAAATTGTCCTAGATAGAACAAAAAGGCTAGTTTAGAACAAGGCATAGCAAAAAAATCAAAATAAAATGTTAAGGAAGAACACATTCTTGAAGAACATTAGTCTGAAAAATATGAAATGTTTAAGTCATGAAATTTAGGATTTCATTTTCTTCTACTTCATGTACTTTGACTAGAGATAATATGTGCTCAGTTTGCACACATTGGGGCCCTAATTTCCTACCTGAACATCTAAAACTTAGCACCCAGATTTCGCTACACAAGTGTGGGACATTCCACATCTCATTCCACACTAGTTTTACAATCAGCCCCTTCTCTCAGCTTCTCCTCAACTTTCTCCTAGTCCTCTCATTTTCTTCATGGCTTTCCCTGCTCTGAGGACACACAGGCTCTGTAATCCAGTAACTATTAACTATTTACATACCATGTGCCCCTTTGGGATGTTGAAACTGATTGGACTCTCTCTCCAGACACACATACACACACACACACACACACACACACACACACACACCCCTTTGCATTTGATTCATGCCTTCCATGGAAGGTAAGAAGTGCTGGTAGCTCTCGTTTGCATTTGTGACATCTTTCTATCTCTGAAAGATTATGAAAGCTTGACCTAGAAAAGTCCTCAATTTTAATACAAAGTTTCTTTTCCTTCACAAATCCAAACCTTCACCCCAGTTTCTTTTCTCACCTTTGAAATTGTTTGATTCCATACTTCAAAGACTGCCCATGCTGTCTCCTAGTAATTCATTTCTAATACTTTGTCCTTTTCCCAATTAAGGGAATTTTTTTTTCTGTTCCACACTCAAAACCAAATACCTCATTGCAGCCTGATTTATGTCACACCAGATGTTTGCAGCCTGCTCCCCAGCCCCCCACCCCTTTCTTTTCCTCTGCCTAATACTTTAGGCCTAACACTAAAATCCAATTCATCAAGCACTTAAGATGTGGGGGTCAAGGGAAACACAAATGGTCTGGTGTAAACAAATGGCATTCAGTGGGGGGAAGGGGTGCAGGGAGAATCTAAACAAAGCAGAAATTAAACCGAGATGCTGACATCACTTCAAAACACTGCTCAGGTAGAACATGGCATTTGAACAAGGTCAGAGGCTCGAGCCACAAAAGAAAGAGGTAAAAGTTAAGAGATGAACATAACCCTGAGAAACAGAGGCCTCGGCGGCCGACACCAGCAGCGTCCATTTGTCTGGGATGGCTTATCTCCCCCAGCATAGACAGGAGACTAATGAAGTCACAGAGTCTGGAAGCTGCCCCACTGTCTGTGGCTTTATGAAGTCATCAGTCAAAAGTATAAAACAAAGAGAATTGCCAGAGTTTGGGGGATATTTCTGAATTTCCTAGACTGAGCGCAGACCTTAGGAGGAAGGAATGAGACAGACCATGATAAGTGAGGAAGGAACTTTAGAGCAAGATCACTGGCAGCCCTGCATTGTGCTCTTCCTGGTGCTTCTAACCTGCCAGTGCCAAGCTCAGCTTTGTGGGGGGAGCAGAAGGTGGGAAAGGGGAAGAGCCTATTCATCCTTACACTGTCTTCTTGTTGGATCTAAGAGCTACTAAACCCTTGTTACAAAAACAAGTAGTCATTGGGCCTCCCCGGTGGCGCAGTGGCTGAGCGCTGGGTTGTGAAGCTCCCCGCGGCCTCTGTGGCACCAGTTCGATCCCCGGCTGCTCCCCGGCCCCAGAGGAGGGTCCCACATGGCGCGCAGACCTTTCCTGCCACCCGCTGCTCCCCTCAGCAGTGTACTTCGGTCCTTCTGCCTGCTCTGCTCCCTGATCTGGCTCTGGTGAATTCTCTCACCCTCCCGCGCCTCTGACTGTACTCACTGCTTGTATAAATAAATAAATAAATCTTAAAAAAAAAAAAAACTCTAAAAAAAAAAAAAGTAGTCATTTATCCCAATATCACTAAGATCTTATCTAGTTTGAGGACAGGTAGGGGTTTAGAAGGAAAAACTGTGTTGTGAAAATGGAATGTGATGTGGGTTAATTATATTGTAATATGATGGACTATTCAAAATCTGTTAATGGAATTTGATCAATAAAAAGACAAAACTGGGCCTCCCTGGTGGCGCAAGAGGTTAAGACGCAACCTATGAAGCTGGCCAGAACGAGTTTGATCCCCAGCCAGCCAGGGAGCAACCCACATGGCGCAGCAGACCTCTCCTGACTCACCCGCTGCTCCCCTCAGCAGCACATTTCATTCAATCTGCCTGTTCTGTTCCCTGCTCTGTCTCTGGTGAAATCTCCTCACCTCCCACACCTTTGGCCTGTACCCCAGCTCTTGTATGCAAAAATAAATGTCTTAAAAAATTTAAAAATAAAAAATAAAAAGACAAAACTGACATTTTTAAAAACACATAATTTATAAGAAAGGCCACAAGAGAATGAAATGGTATCTGTTAGCTCATTTGAATAGCCCAGATTGCAACAATTACTATAAGGTGTATTTTTTAATGTTAGAAATGAAGACTAGGGCTTTAGCGCTCAAGAAAGTGCACTTAGGCCCGTAGGAGTTTCTGAGCCAACACCTGCCACTCATCACACCCCACGGCTACAAGGTTCTGAAAACACCTGTCTACCTGGTGGCCCATGTCTGCCAATGCAAAACCAGGACAGGACACAAAAGAACATTCTAATGAGGATGTTTACAGTACTGATTTTAAAGTTCAACTGTCATAATTAAGAAGGCACCCTCCCCAGAAAAAATACCAGTTACAAACCACTGCCCAATACTTTTTGCCTTGCTGGGAGTGGGGTAGCTTTACCTTCTCGCACCAACTGTGAGCTAAAATAAGGGCTGTGGGGTCCCTACAGGTCATATAAATGAGAGATGTGAGCCCAGAGTGAGGGCAAGAGGAACTCACACCCAGTGACAAATGACAACTGCCACTTCAACTGAAGAGCCCGGAGAGAGAGAGTGGAGGATTTCGACACACTAGAGAGTGATCCACATAAAGGGATCGACTGCTGCTCAGCTCCAGGCCATCACTGCTCCGTGGGGACACAGGCCAGATGGCCTAGTTTCTGTAGCACAACCAAAATGCTGCACATTTTTGATGTGAAACAACTTGGCAATGGATGCAGAAAATTTTGACCACTGTGGGCCAGCACTGAACTGGTCAAAAAACAAATGACCAAATAAATCAAAAAATAAAAAAAATAAATAAACCTTTGCAGGTAAATGTAGCCCCAAAGGGCACCTGATTATAACCAGGTAACTTTGTTTTTCCTGTTCAAGTCTGTGTACTTCTTAATTACATAGCCTTTGCATTCATAAAAAAAAAAAGAAGAAAAATCAGGTTGAATTCTAGTATTGAACAGGGAATTCAGAAACAGCTGCTATACTGATCTTTGAACATCAGCTAACAGTATGAAAGAGAAGATATGCCATATTCCATAATGATGCCAAACACTAAAGTGTACTATTTCTCTTATAGTTTATAAGTATATATGTGTTAATAAAAAAGCAATGGTGAGACTATTAAAAAATGAAGATAACCCACAGAAAAAATTTATAACCAAAGAGAAAAATTATAAAAGATTTAGTGTGAAAAAATAGAATTTTAATAAATCTTTTAGGGAAAAAAAAAAAGAAAAATGGGCCAAAAGCAGGAACAGGTACTTGACACACAAGGAAATCCAGCTAGCAACAATAACACAAGAACAACAATGAGCTTAGCACTCAGAGTGCTTATTCGTGTGTGAAACACTGCTGCACTCATATTACATAAATCAGCTTCATGACAAAGCTGTGAGGGATTATAATCTCCAATTTATAAAAGTGACTTGCCCAATATTACACAGCTAGTAAATGCCCAAACCAGGATGAGATTCTGCCCACCTGCTCCAGGGAACATGCATTTAGTCACTCGACTGTTTCTCAAGACCAATATCCATGTGAAAAAATGGTCAATTGGTATATTGTGATTAAAACAAGATACCATTTCACACCTATCAAACCATCAAAAAAATAAAATTAAGTATGGTAACCTTCTCATATGTCAGGGAGGGGCTAGGGTGTCTTAAGAAACCTGAACAGGGACATCAAATTCAGCACCATTTGTAAGATCCCAGAGAGAGGAAAAGAAGACAGAGGAAGAGAATGAGCAGGAAGGAGAGAAAAGGGAGGTAGGGAGAATGAAAGGGGGAAAGGAATGTGGAGACTGCCAGCTGTTTGTTCTAATTTTATTTTTTATATTTTTACATCCTTTTTCATTTTTGCACAATGTCTGCATTTTCATCTTGGTTATAATCCCCATATAATTCCCCCCCTTATTTTGACCATAATCCCCCCCATAGTGAGTCTCTGGTTTATAGTTGCCTGTTGATTTTGATTTTTACTTTATTACAATTAGTACGATGGTATCTCATGGTAGTTTTGATTTGCATTTCCCTGATTACAAGTGATGTTGAACATTTTTTTATATGCCTGTTGGCCATTTGCATTTCCTCTTCAGAGAAGTTTGTTTTTAGCTCTTCTGCCCATTTTTTGACTGGATTGTTTTCTTTGTTGTTGTTGAGTCTCATCAGCTCTTTGCAGATTTTTGTGATCAGTCCTTTATCATTAGTGTTGGGTGCAAAAATGTTCTCCCAGTTGGTGGGGTTTCTCTTTGTTTTTGTTACTGTCTCTTTTGCTGTGCAGAAGCTCTTTAATTTGATGTAGTCCCAGCTGTTTATCTTTGCCTTCACTATCACTGAAAAGCAAGACTATTTCTTGAGGACAGTACTTCCCCAAGTTCCCTAAAGGAAGCTACTTTATTTCTCACATGACTCCAGGATGCCTGCGTGGAGCAGAAGCCTCCTTGTTCTCAAGCTGCTTCCAGACTATCTCCTGCCCCACTTGACTTGCAAAAAAGATCTCTTCTTGTAGTGCTCACAA